CACATTTTTCTGAATCAGATGTTGTGCAAGCCAGTAGATCTGTATAATGGTGAAAGACAAATCTAACTCACCATTAATGTTACTCCAGCTGCACGCCGTCACAGTTGTCTTTTGATTCTAACAGCCTGGAATTAGAACAGGAAAAGCGAATTATTTAGATGTGAGAAACAGCAGGGAGAAAGTGTTTTGTAATCACTATTTATACTGTATTAACATGTTTATCATTGTTTAAGAGAATTGACCAGTAAATTGTTTAAAGGCTTTATTCTGAATTTGAAATGAATCACCTCAGTACATCACATAAAAGACACATGACTCACTGTGTCTGAGCCTTGAGAGCTTTACGGGCCTCCCGAGCTTCGTGCTCCTCCGAAATCTTGTTGTAACAGTAGACCAGAACCACGATTAGCCACAGTTGCAGAACCACGATCAGCACATACATGATCTCTGAGATCACTATAGTCAGCTCACGATTGGCTGCGAATGAGGAACCAACAAAAATAAAATAAAATAAATACTAAAAATAATTTGCAGCCCTGACTGGTGCCCTTTCATCATACTCTGTCTTGAAAAAAAAAGAACAAATAAAGAAAAAGTAAACAACAACTCCCCTGTTGTTATTTGACCTGACCCTGAACCTGTCCTGCACCATGCTCAGTCACGTCACTGTGGAAGAGAGGGGCAGGACGAGTTATCTGTGCGCATCTCAGGTAGGTAGGTTGTGACTGACAGACAACAAGAGGTCATAATTTGTCAAATTATTGGGTTATCATCATGAAAAGACCTTCAAGTCCTCAGGTGCGACATACAGAAAGCATTTGTACTAGCTAGCAGCTTGCGAAGTTGAAATAAAGCAAAGTTGCCTAATAATGCTGCTGTAGATAATGATGTGATCGCTGCCAAGGATTGAGTGAGCTGGTTTATTGCTGTTTTTATCTGGTGAACTACTGGCTGCTTAGTGCTCCTCCCAAAGCCTTTCACTCTCTCCTCTGGAGAGCAGCCTTTAAAATTCACTGAGCCTCAACGAGGGTTGAACTTCGAACCTTGTGATCTCCAAGCAGCCCTCATCTGAAGGGCCCACCACAACTGCTCTGGCTACTTTGGTGCCCTCGAGGAGTAAAGTAGCCCTGTGTCCCTTTGGTCCCTTTAATTGTATGTCTTACTCTTATTACTTGATGTTAACAGATTTTACTTACCTACAAGCGTCTCCCATTATAGTAGGATTGGCTCTGTCGGCCATCTTGAGAGTTGCAAAGGACTGTCTTGATAGAGTTCCTGCGTATCTTATAAAAGGGGACCAGGTTGTATAAGAGTGGGTATTTTCAACCAAAACATGATCTTCTCCTATCCATAACTGAGAGTTTTTTGTGCCTACACCAAACCACGTTAACAAAGCCGTAGTGAAACATAAAGAAAAGTTAAGTTCCAAACAAACATTCAAACATTCATCTTCAGTATGTGCAATGAATGGTCGTACCTGTTTTATGTTTTTAATACATATTTATTGTTACAGTATCACAATTTCTAAATTGCAATTGCAAAGTGCTTTAAGACATAAAATGATTTGAGAAAATATATACAGTAAATATAAAAATACATACAAATGGAATTTTAAGATTTTCATCCTTAAAAATATTTACAATCATTTTACACTTTTCTGTTAAAAACTTTGGAAAAATCAGTTTGACTGAAAAGAATAAAAAACTCATGTTTCCTCTTGTGCTCCTTGATTCTAGAGATCACAGTGTCCTTACATTACTGAAGAAATCACTGTTGCTGCAGAGATTAATACAGCCTCATTTCTGCGACAGGTTTATCATGATGCCAATTTTGGTTTGTGTCATAATTTATCAGTTCAAGGTGAGGATGAATTCCAGCCAGCATGTATTAAATGTTGTGTAGAGTCAGACAGATGTGTCTCTGCTCACTTTCTGGATCAGTGCAGACAGATGTTCATCCACAGAGTTTCTCTGAAGAAAGGAAATTTAACAATCGTTGACATCAGCTCATAATCAGTTGCTTTAAATAAAATAAAATTAAAGACTTTCCTTATAAAAAAATTGAAGTCTACAGTCATGCTAGAGACTCTGTGAGGCTGTATGTTGACATGATAATGGTTTACATTGGGAAAGCACATCTGTAAATCAGTGGGTACATTTTTTTAGCATCACAACGCCCACAAATGACTCATTTTAGTATCAGGCTTTAATCCATTCGGTCTGATAACATTTGGAAAGTCTAGAAGAGCTGCAAGGTTAAATCATTTTATCCTCATTCAAGTTAAAAAAGTGCTGAACCACAAGTAGCCAGCTCAGCTGATGGCCACACCTGGAGCCACTCTCACTGCTAAAAACCAATCAGTGATTTTATCTGATGAACACTTATCAACATGGCAACATGTGCTAATAAAACATTTAACGTTCTCACATTGACTTATGCAGTGAAGAAAATGACTTTAAAGCCACAGTATGATGTTTATGTAACATGTTATCATGGTTTGGGCACATACCTCCCTCTGTGGTGTTCACACCAGATGCTCAAGCTGATGATCCTGCAGCTGCAACACATTTAATGAAAATTAAATTAGGGTAAAAGCAACCATGTTTGCTTTGTTTCTAATAAACCAGAACATGTAGGCACACAGGTAAAGGCCTTTTCAGGCAAGGAAGATGAATCATTGCTGCCTTCATCAACAGTATCTGTTAGAGGGATAGTTTGGATTTTTGAGGTGGGGCTGTATGAGGTACTGATGTCTGGATCAGAAATCAGGTGGGCACACATTAAGTTATCAGAGAAAAAGGGTAAGCACACATAGGCAGGTGCTTAGCAAATGGGCTATCTGTGACATGCCAAACAGATTTGGAGAAACAGTGATTTGTAACGTGAAACAGATTTATTCAGTGTTTTTACCAGTTTTAATCACCTGGTCTGTTTGTTCTTTAGAAGAACAGACCTCTGCAGATAATTTGACTCCCACCAAAAACCTCCTGAACAATGAACACTGAAAGAATTTTAACCAGAAGAAGTTTCAGATGGTTGTAATCTACAATCCTCACAGCTAGATGCCTAAATTTTACACACTGGACCTTTAAAGTTTATTAATAAATTACATGGTTTTGGATAGATGCATAGACCTGTGCACTCACAAATACCCAATCCAGCATGTTAGGCAGTATCAGAGGCACTTCCAATGCTAGTATCAGTATCGGGACAACTCTACCCTCCATCTCCGTCACAGCCTAGTCTGCACAGCTACATGAGCTTCATGAGCCTATCAGTCTTAGAGTCACCAGCTGACACCACGGGGGATTCATCTTGCTGCTGCTCAGGGCGAACGCCCCTCGATTACAAAATCTTCCTGTAGAGTCTAAGCACCAAAGACTTTTCTGTCAAATCTTAATCATCACATATCATCTGTTAATCTGTACACCTGTAATCTGTAATACACAATTATCTTAACTTTATTCACCTGTCTCTCCTGATTGAACTGTTACTATAGACAACATCTTTAACTAAGTCACTCACTCACTGTGAGGACTACAGCAAACATTAGTTTTGCCCATGATAACTTCATCTACATAATACAATCATGACCTGTACTCACAATATGTAAATTCAAAAGCTACATGACTGTCAACATGTATTTTCAATGAAGAGCTACCCTGCATACAAAGTTTCTGATTTATAGTTTAAGTATAAGATGGTGCCCCTGAATATGCTACTGCTGTTTTTGTTCCACAACTTACCTTCTGACCCTGAGCTGGTGTCTGACAACAGCTGCACCAGATCATTTCTGCCAATTTCCTTTAAAATATCTTTGGCCACCTCCACAGACTCTTGGGTGTAGGTCTGCAGCATCAGATCAACCAGGTCTACCCTGTCAGTGTTCTGCTGTTGGCTCTTTGAGATGCGTAGGAGGTACCACTTGAATTCTTTGAACTCTTCGTCTGTCAATTCTTTGAGCATTTTGAAAAGCGTCTTTCCATCTGCTGCTTCCTGATGAATCCAAAGTGAATAAACAAACAGATATGATTTAACTCTAACTGTAATGATAATATCCAAAATATTCAAAATAAGTCATGAGTTTGGTTTATGACTGAATTGCTTATTGACTGAAAACTGTGTTGAATAAAGTCAAAGACTGATGTGAGATCACTCACCTGGTGTTTGTCCACTGAGAGTTTCTCTGAGGAGAAAGGAAAGAAAATATGTTACATGAGTGACTGATTTAAAATCTGACCATGACTATTTTTTATCAGACTCTCAACTATACAAACAAGTTTATCACATAATGACCAATGTTGCTGGCAGCAGGTCGTTTTCATGTCACTGATTAATTCTGTGAGTGACTTGATGAAAAACCAAAATGAAACTTGTCAGGTTTGTGTCATCTCTGCAGTTGGTGTTTGTACTCAGTCAAAGATCTTTTGTGAGCGAAGAACAACCACTCTGACAGTCACAATTGTGACTCCAATAGTGTGATGTGTCCTCTCTTTAGTGAGTTGTGTGATGCAGCCACGTAGCTGTGGGTGGGCCTAGCCAGAAGGCTGTTTGCAGCTCTAAGTTCTTTTAAATTAAGGATGAAGACTTTTCTGTTTGTTGCTGCCCTTTATAAAATCAAATAAATATTAATTTCTTACACTGCACTGTAACTTCTATTCTTGTATTTTAAACCTGTCTTAGTCTTGTTTTTATTTTTCATTCTCTTGCTCTTTAATGGCATTTTATTGCTGCTAAAATGTGCTTTCTTCATAAATAATTCTAGGTCAAAACCTAGTATATGGCTGGACCGTGTATGAAACATTCGAGGGCTTTCAATCTCAAACGATGGCTTTTTATTTGAAACAGGAGGTGGCAACATTCACTTGGACTTGCTGTTGCAGTCCAGGCAAAAAATTAATATATACATATCTTAAAATGAAGAACAATACAATCAGACACACTCACACAGCAGACAGGACATGGACTCTCTGGAGCTGTAACGTTAACCTCTGGACAAGCTGCTTTTTGCTCGATTTACCACAACACAAGACATGCATTGCACAAATTAGCCTGACATCTAGCGGTCTTTTTCTCCGTTCACATGAAGCCAACATTTAACAAAGGGAACATTACATCATCCAGCTCCATTATAACTCAGAGGGTTCCTCGTAAAAACAATTGTCTTGAACTACACATGATACAACATGCTAATGTTATTAGCATAAGCCTATAACATTTCCCACTGCAGAAATTATCCAAGCGGCTAGCATAGTTTTCCTCCTATTATATAAGGCCAGGATAAATCATACGAAAGTCTTAAAAAGCTATTGTGTGGGGGCTGTGTTGTCCTCGCAAATTAGTTTCTTATCTGTGAAATGACAGTAAATCAAGACTTTGCTTCCATTGAGGGAAATAGTTTTCAGAATAATCAGGAGGACTCTGTCAACTCGCCACGGCTCTGTCGGCCCCGGTTTATGGTCAAGGCCTATTCATTTCAAAAGAGCAACGGCCAAAGGGGAAACACCAACGCTCATGTCATCAATCACTCCAACCAATGGTGTCACTCACTCACTCACTCACAGATAGGCCTGCATTCTGTGGTCTTGCCTCGTTTACAATATGATGATCAGGTCAGATTTTTAAGTGGCAGTGCATTTTATAAATGACATATTGTGAGCAGCCCCACTTTCACTCAGTGTACCAGTTTAACCAGTGACTGTGTTTACACAGCCCAAATGTGTCATGGTTGCTCGAAGTGACGACGGCTGTTGTAAACACAAATGGAGCATGTAGGTGTCCTCTTAAAACCCTTCAATTTTACTTGAATCACAATGACATGATACTCATCTGTGTTTATTTACTATGCAAACCATTACTATGCAAACCATTTAAGTTACTACAGGCAACCAGGGGCGAAAATCCCATTTCGTAGTTGGGGGGGACAATAAACAGTAAAATTTTAGAGAATAATTCCAGGGGGAGGGGACAAGGAAAAAAAGTTGTAGCCTGTCTTTTATACAGCATCTTTTACTGCAATTTGACGCTTTAATCTTCTATCTCTTTAATCTTCAACGAGCAGCACTCGTAATTGAGTAGGCT